GGAGTGTGAGGTCTGGGGTCCAGATGCCACCACAACGAGCATGGCAGGGTCAGAGTGGCTTCCTGCCCCTTGCTTCCCACAGCTACTTACATGTGCATCCCTGCAGCAGGGGGGATGGTGTTTCTGTGCAGGGCATGGAAACCCTACCCCACCCCACCTCCAGGATGGGACACTAAACTCCACCCTTTTCTCAGACAGGCACCTAAATCTGGATTGCAAGGAGGCACTGAAGATAAACAGTGATGAAAGTAAAAGGACATAACACAGGGTCTCTGTCCTCCACACATGGCCAGCTGTGATGGGGTATCCACCCCACCCATGACTGGAAGGGGAGGGATTATGGTGACCAGGCAGGCCTAATAGTTGCACAGGCTGCACCTGAAAGAAGACCCAGAGACCAAGGTTTGATTGCAGGCAGGTTCAGCTGGGTAGGAATAATCTGAAAAGAGACAAGAGTAGCTGTGGGAAAGGCTAGTCATTTCCAGGGAAGAGGTAGGAGTTTTTGGAGGCTGCTGTTGGGAAAGAGCAGTTGCAGTCTCTAGTCTAGACATATGCATAGGAAGTAGAGATGTGTGTGCGTGCTGTAACAGCCCCAGGTTTTGCGCATTCTGGCCACATGTCTTTGCTGCCCAGGATCTTGGCTGCCAGGCTCATGGGCACTGACCCTGGGCCCTACTCTCTTCTGTGGTCCTGGCCATGTGCCCAGGAGCTTTGCTACCATGTCTGGCATGTGAGGTTTCACCTGGCTGCTGGCCCCACCTCTAAGGGGCAGTGAGGTACACAAATGCAGGTCAGCACCCGCACTGCAAAAACTGTTCCAGCACAACTGTCTCTGGAAAGATGGTTTGGAGCTAATGGTCCCAGAGAAGAAACAGAGACCCATGAGAAGCAGGAAGCAGTTCAAGGAAGGAACACTGACTGACTTCAGTTGCTCAGAACAGCTGGGTTAAGGGTCTCTGGACTGAAACTGAAGTAGTGAGTGGGCCTTGGTTCCCTACCAGCCACTGAAGGAGTCACCTGAGGCAGCACAGGGAAGACTTTGATGTGCCTGAGAAGGAAGCACTGACAGTGACCTGGTCAGATGGCAAAGTAATTAATGAACATAATATTTCAGTTCCTGAAGTAAAAGAGGGGCTGCAGAACAAGAGAGAGATGGACTGGTGGTGTGACCTGATGAGCTAAACCCGAGAACATCGGCTCATCCTAAAGCTGGGCCTGATTCACTCATTGGGTTCTGCTAGCAAAACTCAGGCTGTGTTGCTCCAGGGAAGTGGGCATGGCAGTGAAAAAGCTTCTGACAACATCTGCTCCAGCATGGGTCCTAGAGTCAACTGTCCTCCCCCTGGCCCATCCCCTTCTCTCCTGGTTAGACTCTACCATTGGGGTTCCTGTAGAGCACCAAGGGAATTTAGAGTGGCCACTCACTGACAACTTCTGAGAAAGGGAGGCGGCTGTACTGCCATTGGACTTCCCTTAGCGCAAACTTCTCCCCAGTATACCAGAAGCAGAGGGATGCAATCTGCAGCACACTGGAGTCATAGAGTGGGTGAGAAGGGCATTATTCGTCCTTAGTACGTGTCTATCTAATATCCCATTTTATAGTAAGGGTACTCAGTTATTTTTTGTCAAGGTCCAAATTTCTTGGCCAAGATATAGTCAAGGTCCAAACCTCCCCTACCCCCCAAAAAACAAAAAACCCACCCAAAAAACCCAACCCAACAACAAAAAAACTCAACTCCTCCCGCCCCCCCCCCAACAACCGAAAGATAATAAGTAAATTAATTTTGGGGTTTGTTCAGAAGCTGTTAGTGGTCCAGATTTGGCCTGTGGTCCATGTATTGACTACCCTTATTCTATATGGTTCTTAAGCGCTAGTGAGTTAGCGTGCAATTGGGAAATAGAAATCATGGTATTTTTTTTATGAGAGATGTGTACCATAAAATCTACATATCACTCATCTCTGACCACAAAGCTGAACCGTGCTATCTGCGCTTGTCAAAAAAATTATCCTGTATGCTTGTCTATTCAGTGGTCAGGAAAAACTGATTTAAACTGAACTAGGCCGCTGCTTTGCTATGCTCAACAACCTCCTACCTTCGTAATCTAGCATTGAGCCCAGCTGTGCTCTCCATGGCCCCAAGTCACTCTCACCCTTCTCCACTTTCACCCTTCTCCACTTTCACCCACCACACCCCTAGATGGGCCACTGTCTGAATTCTTTTGGTGCATCCCACCTGCTCATGCCTTTCAGTTGCCAGCCAGTCCCCTCTGCCCGCTCCTGACCCACCTGCCAATAAAATAGTCCATGGCCCACAGCCTACCCCCTTTCTTCCATCCCTAGTCCCACCTCCATCCTCCATCCCTAAACCCCCCTTCCCCTGCTGGAGGGAGGGTCAGAGAGTAAGGGGTTCCTCTGGGATGCCAGGTTGAGAACAGGGGGATGGGAGTTTGTGAGGGGGCAGGAGAGGGGCTGAGGACACACATGGAGGGTGGAAAGAGGGCCAAGGAGCCAGGTAGTGAGAGGAATCTCTAGGTGCCACCATGCAGAGGCAGGTGCCCGCCCCCACTTGACTGGGATGAGAGCTGCTCTGAACGCTGTTGGGCCTCCTCTCTGATGCCTCAGGGGTTTCCAGACTGCAGCAGCGGTTTCCACTGGAGGCGGCTCGCCACTGGTGTGGCCATTTGGGGTGCGGCAGAGAATGGGGCAGCAGGCAGCCGGGGATGCGGAGCTTGCCTCTGCTCCTGGCATAGTGGGCCACACCCTGGGTCTATCTGAAGTAGCCCCCTGGGCTGGGGGGCTGAGAGCCCTTGCTTGGGAGGAGCACAGCCTTGCAGTGAGCCAAAGCTCAGCCCACCCCACTCATGCAGTCGCTCACCACAGGTAACTGCCAGAAGGGGACATAGTGCAGTGGTTGCTTCCCCCAAGCAGGGGGTCACCAGGGCCGGCCTGGTGCACAGCAAGTGCCTCCCCTCGGCCACCAGGCCCCGCGCTGCTTCCCCTGTGGGCCTGATCCCATGTGTTGCCTCAGGCCCTCTGGCTGCTGGGAAGGTCCCCAATGTTCCCAGGTCCAGCTGCCCTGAGCCTCTACCTGGGGTCTCTCCTTCGAGCAATGGTGGCGGTGCTGTCACAGCCCCATTCCTTGCGGCAGGCTGATCGGAGCGGCACCCAGATCCTGGATGGAGTTGCTCCTTGCCTTGGATGCTGTTTGGGGACTAGCAAAGCTGCCTGGCAGCCCGGCTTGGGCAGAGTCCACCTCCCAAGGGTCCTCCCTGCTCAGCTCCAGCCATGGCCTTTTGAGAGGCAGCATCTGCCCGGACCAGGCTGTCATCCCCGAACAATGTCTGGGGAAGGGAGGCTGTGGGAGGGCAGAGCCTGAGGGACGCAGAGTGAAGTGATGATGTCACTCTGTCATCCCACAGGAAAAAACTTTTTATATACATATATGCTACATCTAGACAACATCCCTTTTTAGTAAAAGGGATGTAAATTAGACGTATCGCAATTGCTAATGAAGCGGGGATTTAAAGGTTTTATTTTCTGCAAGATCAGCGTCTAGACTGGCGCTTTTTTCCGACAAAGCTCCGTGCGGAAAAAAAGCAGCAGCCATTTTTATGCTAATGAAGCAGGGGAGATTTAAATCCCCGCTTCATTAGCAAGTAAAAGGGATGTAGTCTAGACGTAGCCATAGAGAAAAGCAAACAAAATAAAATCTAGGTATCATGCAATTGTTTAAACTGTAATTTGGCCAGGACGCTGGCTACACTGAATCTAGCATGAAGAATCACAGGCTCCCTTAGTGGTCATGAGGTCAGGACTAGAGGTGGTTGAAATCTGGAATTGCCATTTCATGGGTAATATTGAAACTTAAAAAAAAACTGCATAAGAAGAAACTCTGTTTCTTTCAGAACAGAATTCCAAAATTTTGTTTTGAAAAGAATCAAACTGCCATTGCACTTCAACTTTTTGAAACAAAATTGATGCAGTTCTCTGAGCTGCACAAAAGTCCAACGTTCATGCTTCCAAGCTTTCTGCCACACAGCAAAGGCACTAGACGCCCTGAGAATTCAAGCCAACCTCTGCAGTAGACAAACAAGTAGGCTGCCAGAAGGATGGCCAGAAACCTGCCTGGCTTCCATTGGAAGAGTTTTGACTATTATCAGGGCTTGACAAACAGCAGCGAAATCTACTCGCCAGCCCTGCATTGCGCATGCACAAGACCCGCATTGCACATGCGCGCACTGCCGGTGAACGGGGCGACGGGCTGAAATCTACTCGCCACGGGTGAGTAGAAACAGTGATTGTCAAGCCCTGACTATGATGCATTCCCGTGGAACATTTTGATATAGTTGAATTGGAACAGTTTTCTGTCAGAAAATTCCGTCAAAGTTTCCACACAGCTCTACACATAATCTTTGCGTTGTTATCAGACAGATGGCATCTCCTGGACCACAGTAATCTTCAGACAACCTGCTTGGAACTGGGTCAGTGCTGACTCAAAATAGCACCCACTAAATCACTAATGCTATTTCCTGCAGCACCTTGTTTTTCCTGGATGTCCTCTGTAAGCAGAGGGCCAGACTTGCAAAAGTATTCAGCCCCCAGAAGCTTCCACTGTGACACTTATCACCAAATGGGCTCAAGAGTTCAACACCCAATACATTGAAATTAGTGCTCTTGCTGTGGTATCTACATAGAAGTGCAGCACTCCTGGTAATTTGGCTCTGATTTTAGGTGCAGAACTCGTTTCAATCTGGATCCTGCTGTCAAGTGACGGATATTACAACCACATGCAATTTCTTTGGGGACCATAATGTATTCAATGTAGGAATAGATTATATATCACTAAAGACACTGTCTATGTGAAACTCCAGGGAGAAGCTCCAGAGACTAAAAACTGGGGGAGGGGGTGATTAAGATGAACCACTTAGGTTACAAACACCTCCAGAGAGGTACCTCCTACTGCAGAAGCTGCATATACCACTTATAACTTGGTTTTCCAGAGTTCAACAGACAAAGGGTTTTTGATGTAAAACAGCTGGGTTTAAACGGACTCAGACCTTCTTTGAGATCCAACAAAATCATCAGGGCCATCTGTTATTGGGAGAGGGTGTGCAACCCTTGTGGAAGGGTTGGAAAGACTTTGGGCTATTCAGCTCCATAAGACTGCTGGGTGAGTCCTGCTATGTTTACAGTATTTAAATCTGCATGTTGTTTTGATTATGTTTTCACCTGAATAATGAACATGCTTACTTAGGAAAAGTGGTGTGCTTAACTGCTGGTAAAAGCACTGTGTTGCTACCTGCATACAGAACAAAGTGCAGGGGCTTGTCTTCTTTGTTGGTTTTGCTGGGGATATCACTGCAGATATCACTGTGCAGCCTTAAAATCCTGGTCAGGAGGGATCCTGATGTGAGAGAGGTGATGTCTGGAAACCTTAATGGGGTGCTTTTGGTGGATAAAGAAGGGGGGGATACAGGTTCCATTAATCCTGAAACCATGATATTGAACCTCATTGTTAAAACCTACTCTAGCTGGCTTAAGAAAGGTGATGGATCCCAGCCTTAGGCATATGCTGTATGATAACTGAGTTACCTTTGATAACATAATCCTAGCATCCAAATATGAGCCGTGTACAGAGCAGCAGCAAAGCACTAGTGGCCATGCAGGTGGTGCTTCAGAGAGGATCTCTTACATAGTTTTTCAAGCTCTACAGCTCTAGTAGCATGACAAGGAGAGAAGAGGGAGTAAGGGACAGGACAGAACGAATTATAAATGTTCTGGGATCAGATACCATCTAGAGATCAACAGTTCCTAAATAAGTACTGGAAAATACAATGCATTATGCTTTCACAACATGTATTCACTGCTATTACTATTATGACTAATGTTTGCCCTTTCAATTGAAACTGCATCACAGGCACTAAACACGCTTAGCTTTAGTCCTTCATCCAGTTGCATTTTTAAACAAATAATAATTAACTGTGTGGCCCCATTCTTATCTGCAGACACGTTTCTGGAGTATTGTGGTTTTGAAAGTTTGAGTCCTAAATCACCACTGATTCTAATAAAGCTTTTTCACCAAATCTGAACAGTCATTTCTATGTTTTGACAGACATTAACAAAATGAGGTTTCAGCTGACAATTAAAACTTGACTTGGAAAGGTCCATTAAATCTCATTACATCAGGATCTCTCTGAGAAGGCACTTTTGCCTTTACAAAGTGATACAAAATCCCTCCCTGGATCCAGCAAAATCTTACTGGACAGGTCCTGAGGGTGCTGGACCAGGGAGGTCCAACCTGTAACTGAGATAGTGAATTTTAGTGGGACCTGACCACTAAGGACTGAACTCATCACTTCATTTCACACAACTCAGAATGTTTGGTAGAGACTGAAAGATGTTCCTTTCCAACTACTCACCCTTCAATGAATTACCTTTTTATTCCATTAAAAGATTTCTTGAGCTACCTCCTCACTCATCTTCCAGTGGCTTTTTATAGTGGAAATGAATAGGTTGAAATAGTCACATAATATGTTATCCACACGGGAGTAAATTCTAATTTCAGGGCCTTCAATATATTTTAATTTAGATTTTAAATCCCTCAAGGCAAGAATCTGGGACCAGATTGTCCCCTAGGTAAGAGACAGGAAATGCAGTGAGTTTGGACTTGCAGATTTTCTGGGGCAAAAGGGTGTATTACCACAGTGAAAAGCAGTTTCAGGTCCTTTTATTTAAGCCAGGTAAGAGAACAATGAAAACGGATCAGTCCCTTTTTTTCCCCTTTGTCTATAAAACAGGAACCAGGAGTCTCACAGTGAAACTGAGTGCAGCAATTATTTATTTTAGAATGATTTCACTCATTCAAAATCAGAATTTCTGCATGCAGGTAAAAGGGATGATGGTGTATAAAATGGCTGCAACTCCAGTCCTGACTCCACTAGATCAGTGGTGCTCAACCTTTTTTTATTCGCGACCCCCAGGACTGGGAAAATTTTTGTTGAGCAAGAAAAAAAAAAAAGCAGCACAGCCCCATTAATTTAAAGTACTGGTCCACTCCCCCCACCCGACGAAAATCGGGCACCAGGCTGGGAGAACAAAATGGCGGCCGACCCAGCACCGCAATCCCCCTTAGGAAGACAGCTGCAGGTTGCGCACCACTTCTCTAGATGAATGGTCAAAAGGAAAGAATATATACAATATGAGTTGAGACTGAAAGAACTGGCCATGTTCCTTCTGGAAAAGAGGAGTTTAATAAGGGGGGATATGAGAGCTGCCTTTGGATCTTTGAAAGGTTGCCCCAGAAAAGATGGAGAAAAGTTATTCTTTACTCACAGTGGGCAGGACAAAGGGCAGAGGCTTCAAACTTCAGCATAGCAGATTTAGACTGAATCTTGGAAAAACATCTTAACTGTAAGAGCAATAGGCTAATGTAACAGACTGCTTTATGAGGTTGAGGAATGGACACTTCTTCAATGAGGGTTTTTGAAAGGAGGCTGGAAAGCCATCTGGTTGGATGGTTTAAACTTTAGAGCAACAAACCCTGCATCTTGGCAGGGACCAGGAAGTTAGACTAGATGACCCTTGTGGTCCCTTCTAAATCTACGATTCTAATGGAACATGGAACTAGAGTTGTAAAATCCTGTTTAAAATGTTAATCGGTTAAACCATATGTTTAACTGGTTAACCAGCTGGCTGTGTTGTGTGTGCGTGAGGGGGGGGGAGGGCCCTGGAGCAGCCCCCTTCCAGCGGCATAGTGGAATTGGCTGGAATTGGGTGGAGGCTGCTCCATTGTGGAGGGCTGCTCTGACCAGTTCTGCTGTGCTGCAGGTGGGGAGCTGCTCGAGCCGGGCCAGGTGCCAGTTTACTGGTAACCCTGGTATTCATGCCAACGATAAGGCAATGCTTACTGGGTAACTGGTTACTCCTTTATATTCCTAATTTCCATATGGGGCTTCCAAGGAGCTGGCATTTCCTCCTGCCATTTCCCCCCTCTGCCCTTTGTTTATCTTGACTTGTAGAAGAAGTCTACAAGTTTTCCCCTTGCTTGTAAACGCCAGGCACATCTACTGTGACATATAAATAACAAGATGACTTCTTAGTCTACATAGCCAGAGAAAAGGGATCTCTTACATATCTGAACACCTGGAACACAGTTGGGCAGGCATCTTTATCCCCATTAAATGGGTGCAGAAGCCGAGGTGCATGGAGGATAGAGTATGTTACCCAGTTATAAGGGGGCATCCTGGGTTTGGAGAGGTTTATAATATAGGCTATGACTAGACTGCAGGCTTCTTTCGGAAGAACCTTTTTTCGGAAGAGAACTTCCAAAAAAACTTCTTCAGAGAGCGTCCACACACACAAGCGCATTGAAAAAGCCATCTGCTTTTCCGAAATATAATGTCCACACCGAATGGATGCTCTCTTGCATTTAAGCTGTGATTACTATGGACGGAGTGGCCACCAGAGCACCTGTGCTTTTTCCCTCTTTCCTCTTCTTTCGAAAGAACTCCTTTGTGCCCCACACATGCCTTTTCCCAAAAGAGCTCTTTTGGAAAAAGGCTTCTTCCTTATAGAAAGAGGATTACCAACGTCAGAAAACCCCCTGTTCTTTCCATTTACTTTTGGACGATCGCGATGGTAGTGTGGACGTAATTCACGGCCCTTTTCCCCACAAAACTCAGTAGTGTAGACATACCCACAGCTGGCTGGGAAAGGATTTTTGTTTTCGGGGTGGGGAGAAAGGGGATCAGCAAAAATGAGCAGCACTTACTTTGCAGCGAAGATGTTATTTGACGTTTGGGGGCATTCTGCTCAGACCCTGAACTTTTTGGGTGCCAGTTTTCGGCCAAGATTCTGCCCCCCCAAAAAAAAGCCATTAAAAACCCCGAACCCACCCGACAGCTGTTCCACTGAAAACCCTTGGGATGGAAACCTAGTTTCTCCGGTGAGCGTGAAACTCCGCGCGGCGGTGGAGCCCCCTCGCAGCCCGCCAGGGGAAGAAAGTGCGTGGCAGCCGGAGCCCGGGAGCTGCTGCCGCCAGACGCCCGGCCCGCGCGAGCAGGGCTCTGCTGCGGTTCCCTACCTGCTCAGGGCGGTGGCTTCGGAGCGGAGCAGCCCAGCAGCGGAGCACTTCCTCTGGCGATAAGATCTTCGCCCTCTTTCGTCACGGAGGCGGTTGCTGCTGCCGCTGCACCGCTCGCGAGCTGCGTCTCTGAAGAAGCTGCTGGGGGAGGGGGGCGGGGGGGGGGGCCGGG